ATATTTCCGAATAAAAAATGAAGTTTCTGATCCATTTTTCCTTTTAAATAAATCTTGATCTTTGTCTAAAATTATAGCGTGTTTTTTTACTACTGATCTTACAAATTTAATTTTGTTAAATCTAAAAGGCATGTATAATTGAAATAGATTTGTTATATGAGTGCAAGTGTTGCTTTACCAATCTTACGTAGAAAGTGCATAAGCATCACATTCCTCTTAATTTCAACAATTGCAATTTAGCTCATTTTTTTATATACAATGAAGTATTTTCAATGCTATATTTTCTATTCAAATGCTAATTTTAATTTACCTGAGTTTGACCACTAATTTCAAATTAAAAAATATTTTCTCGCTTAACTACTTGACTTTTCAAAATCTTTAGTGCTCAATTTTAGCTTTATATATATATATATATATATATTTATTTATTTTTAACCTAAGTTTGGCCGGTAACCGTCTTTAACGGATCTTAAAGGATGCCTTACCCCTTCCCTTTAGGATAAACGTCTCCGCACCGATATGCAGGACTCTACTAGACGTTAGCTCTGTACAAGTGAGACCGATAAACCTGGGGCTCTGATACCAACTTGTCACGACCCGATTTCTCAAGTCATGATGGCACCTACTATAACCCACCAGTAGGTAAGCCAACCCGTAACCCGGAACAACAAGTAATGGGTCTGAGGGTAGAAACTAAACAAGAGTAGGCAAATAACAATATAAACAGGCGGAAGCAAACCAAAAACATATATACAAATAAAGATCCCTCCCAGAACCTGGAAGTCACTAGTACAGAGCTACTAACAAAATGAGTACAAGTCCCAAAACTGGACAAGTGAGACTGGACTGTCTCGAAAGGTAAAAGATAAGTCTATATATACAGATGGAGACTGAAATAGTACAAAACGTCGTGTGCTCACTCCCGTCTCCGGATCAGTCTGCTCCAAGCTCGATCAACGCTGGCTACTAGTGCCCGGACCTGCATCACGAAATAGATGCAGAGCGTAGCATGAGTACCAAAACAACCGGTACCCAGTAGGCATCATAGGCCGACTGAACTTGAAAAGTAAAGGCAATATGAAAAGAAGGAATAACATAAATCGAAGTCAAGAACTAAAATCTAACTAACAAAGGAATGCACACGAGTGTATAAAGAACTAACTAAAGTAATCTATAAGCTAACTACACCTAACTGGGCCCCCATAAGCCCAGAAGGTACACTCGTGCGCAAGTTAAATAAAAACCCGAACGGACCCCTATAAGCCCGACGAGTACACAAAATAATTATAACTAAAGAGAATTGCATCAAAGAACCCATGAACAAAGAACATCGAACCATAACCTCAACCCTAATTAGTAGAATCTGACAGTACGGAGGCCGGGCCTCGAACCGGATGCTCACCAGAAGTACCTAAGTAACCAATCACAAGTAACAAGTATAAGAGGCCGGAACTCTAACCGGATGCTCTATATAAGTATCTGAGCAATAGAGGCCGGAACTCTAAACCGGATGCTCTATATAAGTATCTGAGAAATAGAGGCCGGAACTCTAACCGAATGTTCTATATAAGTAACTGGACAATAGAGGTCGGAACTCTAACCGGATGCTCTATAAAGGTGCCAATGTAGCTGTTGAAAGAGTCTCAATTGATCCATACTCATAAATGTCTGTGAAACGCCGTCCACACATAACCAATCAATGAAAGTCCTTGGAACCAAATTCAAATCGCGAAGTAGAATTAGTGTCGCCGACGTAACTCGTGAAGCCGTAACATCGGGGAAAATAAGGATAACTAAAGTCGGAGCAAGCGTATCGCCTAGCTAAGGCCCAATCTATCAGACTCAAGTCTGCTACACCAGTCTACAGGGATCTAAGTCGGTCGAGCGACGTCGGGGACAAAACTAAGGCCTATCGGATCCGAATCATGTATTTCTAAGGCAAGCCCTAGTCAAACCTAAACTAAGGCCCAAATGCTTCAAATAGACAAGAATTAAGCATGAAAGCACTCCACATCGCGAGGAGGGTCCATTAATAACACAAAGCATGCTCACAGTTACTCGATAATTCCTGAAATTGGCCGAAAACATGATTTCTTAACACCTATGCAAGATTCAATAACTACCCAACCCAAATCCCAACTAATCAACGTGCATTCACATTCTCGAGCTCAATCTAATAGAGGGAAACCGTAGCCTACCTGTAGGCCAATCACACGCGCTCCAAAATCACTTCTCCGGAGCTTTTCCTTTCCGAACATCCTCGAAACACTGCCCCGCTATCAAAAATAGAATCACAACGTTATTACAGTCGTTTAGACACCAAAATCACAACAAACGGAGATGAGTCAATTTTGGAGTCAAAACGGGAATCGTGGGACCCGCGCTGAAAATTCCGAAATTACCCCAAAAGTAGGTCCTAACCAGTTCCCCCAGCTCATGTCCCAAAATGGGACACAATTCGGGGCTCGGGAACAACACAATACCAACATACAACCAAACCCCAAATTTTCTCAGAAACTAGAAATGGGACAGCAGTTGAATCAGTGTATTTACCAGAAACGAGCGGTCTACAGTAAAATGTGACAACACTACGACGTTCTCCTCGAAAAAACACTCAAGATAGCCTCAAAAATCACTGAAATCGGACCTAGAAAGGCTAAGAAAACAAGTCTCAAAAATTCCCAAAATCAAGCTCACAAAAAAGGGTATGGCAGCAGGTATTTTACGAAAATTACCTCAAATGGGGACTCCAAACCACTATCCGAGCTCACCAACACGTTGCCCTCGAAAAAATCTCACAAACTTTGCCTTTTGAATCGCCCAAAATCGGTTGAGAGATGAGAGAGTTATGAGGGCTTAAGTTTTGGAAAATGTTGCTGGTTTATCTGCATTTATTGCAGAAAATCTGCAATTTTTTCCCAAAATTAAAACTCCGACGGGGTGCTCCGAACTCGTTCGGAACCCCGTACACGCAAACGAGATATGCAACCATACCAAATTCGACATTCCAGACTCAACGGCGCAGTCGAAATTTCCATCAAAGGTCATCTCAATAAAAAGTGGGTCCCACTTCCAAAAGTCATTTTAAGTCAAAACCCACAAAAGGGCTCGGAAGGATATCGAAAACCTCCAGACACAAAAGAAGGGTCAATCTAGACCAAACTCGACATTCCGAAGCTAACCACGCTGACGGAATTCTTATCCGAGCGCGTTTACTCAGAATGTTGACCAAAGTCAAACTTAAGCCAAATTTCAAAGGCTAAAACGCCTAATCGCACCGACTCACACTGAAAACCTCGAGAGTCATGTCGACCATGCTACTAGCCTAAAATGACCCTTCCGGAGCTGATGGAATTGTCAGAATTGGATTCCGATGTCATCTTCTTGAACTTTTGATCGAAAATGATCGTTCAAGGTTCATAAGCTCCAAAACACAAAAACTCGCACCAAGACCAAACGAACGACCAGGTGACCGAACTGTCAGTCCCAGCAAGTCATAAATGACTTGGGGTCGCTATAGGAACGCTCTAAACGACACACAGAAGGCAAGACACAGAAATGACCATGAGGGTCATTACATGTTTTATCTTCCAATTCCCAATGAAAAAGTAAAACATCTCTTCGTAGTAATAAACATATGGAGAATTTGAAAAGTTGTTTGGTATATTCAATGTGGAGTAAATTTTGTTGATCAATTCAATGCAATATATTCATTTACTAAATGATACATATTGTGTATATATAGTGAAAAATCACAAGACAACTATCCCAATTCATCAAATTATTAGATTATCAATCCTACTTTGTGTAGGCACATTTTCTCATATTTATTTTTGTGTTTGTTGTCTCTCTTTTCTACTTCTGTTTATGTTCTCTATTTTTTCTATTCACATTATAAGTTATTGTCTTTAATTCGACTTATTCTTATATTGTTTTCTGATTAGTTGAAAGTTCATCTTACTTGGGTAGGTAAACGTGTGTATTATAGTTATTTCACCTCTTGCAACATAGAAATTTGTCATGCAAATACCAAATCAGGTAAGATTACTTTATTTTTTATTATAACTTCTTTGAGTATCATGAAACTATATATTCTTGTTTGTGTAAATTATGGTTAGGAATCAATTTACACAATTTAACTAATATTTTTTTGTTAAATTCACAGATGATAGAACTAATAATTTTGAATTAGGCAAAGTGTACACATACCTATAATAATTATGATTTATATACATCGATTAGATATTTTAGCAATTATTATTTTATCACTAATAATAACTATTTTTTTTTGTAGGTGTACACCACAAAATTGACAATGATCCACTAGCTATCATAAGAAAGGTATATGTTGATCTAATTTATGTGTAATTTTTACAAAACACAATTCACATTCGACGACAACGTCTTCATCTGTATGTGATTATTAAAGATGGAGGCTATAGTTTCTTAGAAAGAAGGCAAAAATTTTAAAACATGAAATATTTGAACCATTAAGAGACTTAAATTATGTGTTGTGACATATAAAAAGAAACTTTTATCAAGTTGAATACTTGGTATATTAAAAAAATTACATAATTAAAATTGTTCGGATATTACTTTTGAAATTCATTTGATAGCAATATTTCAACATGATATACCTTGTACTGATAATAATCTTGATTAAATAGGCTCACCATTCATTGATTTAAGCTGGTATATTTTCTCTTCAATTACTATGCAAGTTATTGCACAATGATCATCTACAAGTCATCTTAAGGAAGACATAGATATTTGATCAAATTTCTATTTAACTTTTGCAAAACACTACTTTCATTCGACAACAACTTCTTAATACGTATACAAATGTGATAAGGTGGAGACTACAAAGGTGAAAAGAATATGAAAAACTCAAGACAAGAAATATTTTGAAATCACACTTGACATTTAAATTATTAGTTATGACATATTAAACAAAAGAAACGTTTATCAAATTGAATACTTGATATATTATAAGAATTGCATAATTGAAGTTATTGGTTTGAGCTTGTATATTTTTCTTCAATTTTTGTGCAACTTATCACACATTTATTATAATATTTTCAAAGTTCGTGTACTTTATTAGCATGTGATACACGAGCAACATACATGTCCGAGTATATAAATATCATTATAACAACTCCACACAACTTAGCATGTGACACACGTGCAACGACGTTCCCAGGACTAGTTTGTGTAAATTCATTCAGTTGAAACCATCACAACTTGCTTTCCAACATTGCGACCAGAGAAGAGACCAACTAGAGCACTGGGAGCACTTTCGAGACCTTCAGCTACGTCTTCAACGTACACAATCTTACCAGCCTTTATTTGTGGAATGATCATTTCCAAATATTTAGGGTAGAGATGATAGTAGTCAGTAACAACAAATCCTTCCATGCGGATTTGTTTTGTTATGAGGCAGAACAAGTTGTGCACACCTTCGGTCTGCTCAAGGTTGTATTGCGAGATCATCCCACACGCAGAAATACGGCCATGAACTTTCATATTAACAAGAACTGCATCAAGCATCTTCCCTCCAACGTTCTCGAAGTAGATGTCAATTCCATCAGGGAAGTACCTAATACAAACCAAAGATTGATGGTTCGTTTACGAGGAATGTCATGTTCATGAAATGGAAAAGTTTGCATTATAGGTAGAGTGCTTTCTAGTGGGAAGTAAGATTACTAACCTCTTCAAAGTTGCATCTAAATTATGTTCCTCTTTGTAGTTAAAAGCTTCGTCAAAACCAAACTTGCTCTTCAATAGATCAACCTTTAATAACGAATACAACGAGATATAGATTAAGCTCAATGACAACAGGGTTAAACATCATGGTCTTTTAGGTTTTGTTGAGACACTTAAATCATCTATTTAGTTTTTATACAAGAAAAAAGAGATAGACTAAGCATAGCAACGCGACAGAACTTACCTTTTCTTTGCTTCCAGCACTACCAACAACATAGCAACCCATCATCTTTGCAAATTGCCCAACAAGTTGACCAACTGCTCCAGAAGCAGCTGAAACAAAAACAGTTTCTCCCTTCTTGGGGGAGCAAACCTCATAAAAACCAGCATAAGCTGTCATCCCAGGCATCCCTGCAATACAATTGACGATATATCCATTCATAAACAACAAACTTTTGATACAGGGTTCTACTTACTTCCCGTTCATTCATTCACACCTAGTATAACTCCACAAGGCGGGGTCTGGAGAAGGTAGAGTGTACGTAGACCGTACCCCTACCTTATGAGGGTAGGGAGGTTGTTTCTGATAGACCCTCAGCAAGGGAAGGGAAATTCAGAATTTCAGATGCAATCACAAATGAAGTATAAAACGAGTTTAAGCACAATTACAACTACCAAATAGGGAGCTAACATAATCTTTAAAACATTTAGCCACAATCAATTCTATAGATGACTGAAAGTCCATTTTTCAACATTTCAAAACTATAGTTATCCATCCATTTCATGAACTAATGAAGGGAATGATTTATTCTACCTTTAGAAGCAGCACAATATTTTTTTCATGAGAGAAACAATAAAGTTCAATATTCGCTCTTCACAACATGATCATACAACCCTCCTCACCTACTAATAAGGTACAATAAGCATTCAATGAAAGAAATAGAGGTCTGGTGTCAAAGGCTAGATGATTGTTGCTTTTGGTTCACAGTTGGCCAGAAATACTAACAATATGGCAGAAGCAAGGGTTTTAACTATTGAGATTGTTTGATGCATAAAGAACGGCTTTAAGAAAGTAGAATTTGAAACTGATTTTAAGTTGTTCTTGCTACTCAGTTAGTTTGAGAACAATATTTAGTGTTAAGGAAGGAGGATCAAAGGGATCCCTTGGTTCGAAACAACTGCCAAAGTTTAGCAGCAAAGCTCCTAGAGGTAAACTCCTGTCATGATTTTTCTGATATTGATATATACATATGATGTCAGCTAAAAAAATTTCAAAAAAAGCTAAGCAAAATCTTCAATTCCAATGATTTAAGGTGCTTATTCTATTGTACCGGAATCAGACCTTGTGTGGGATCATATATATTTTTAGTTGATTAAAACCAAATCAAAGGATTACATTTTCTGCCTTAAGAGAGAAACTCACCGAGGATTCCGGTATAGTAGGAAAGAGGCACATCCTTGTCATGAATTTTAAAAAAAGTCTGACTAGTTGTTACAACACTATACTCCTCCCATCCAGTCATTCCCCAAACTAAATCACCTTTTTGAAAGTTTGAATCACCAGACTCCAAAACTTTAGCCACTCCGATTCCCATGATAGGCTATATAACAGAATAAAAAAATCATCAATAAGACAAACTATTAATCACACACATATCAATGATAGGCTATATAACAGAATAAAAAAATCATCAATAAGACAAACTATTAATCACACACATATCAATGATAGGCTATATAACAGAATAAAAAAATCTATCAATAAGACAAACTATTAATCACACACATATCAATGATAGGCTATATAACAGAATAAAAAAATCTATCAATAAGACAAACTATTAATCACACACATATCAAGTCAATTCCCATCGATCCACTCATAAACATCATACATAAGGATAATGTTATGCACAAGTAATCCGGGGAATTCAAACTCACTTGCATTTCATAGATAGTTCGATCAGTACATAATTTGGATTGTTTAACACATTTTGATTCATAATTAGATTTTAAAAAAACGTATGGAATACTTACAGCGTCAGGAGTGAAAGGTGCAATATAACTACCCTCAGTTTTACTCATACGAGAACGCATATAAGGATCACATGACAAGTAAAGATTTTTCAAAAGCAGAGCATTAGATCCTTCTGGAACATTCAATTTGATGGTCGTCTTCTTCAATTCCATGTCACATTCCTTAACGTTACCAGTTACATGATGTTTTAGAATTATCTGTTTGTTGCTCACTTCTTCTCCCATTTCTATTTCTGTTTATGTAACTGAGGTTATGGCTGTGCTGACTAAAACAGATAAGGCAAAAGTAACTGATGGCTAACAACTTTCCACTTCTATTATATATAGTCTATGAATTTATGCTATATTGTGTTTTTAGTCCTTATATTATCCAATATATACTCTCTCCGTCCCATGATACAATCTTCTTGTATGTCGATTTAGCAAACCAAAGCCTTAAGCCACTCAACCACGGGATAGCCCGGATGACCTATTTCAAGATCAGATGATCCACGTCTTTGTCCGCTTGGGAGGGCTAACTCGTTAGATGGGCATCTAACTAAAAATGTTTGTCCCATATTACTTGAGCACTTGCTAAATTAGGATAGAATTAATTAATTTTTTCTCATTTTACCCCTACAATTAATATGACCTTTGGAAGTTTAAACAATTTTTAAAGAATCATTTTAATGTGCATTGATATAAACAATGGGCAAAATGATAAAGTCTTCCAATGTATTAATGATATCTTAATCACCGTGTAAAATTGGAAGTGCCCATCTAATATCGGACGGAGGGAGTATTATATTTCACCTTCAATAAAATCACGTGAGTGCTTTTAATCTAGAAAAAGCTCAAAATTGTCCTCTATGTTTCAAGAATTGGTACGCTTTTAGTTCAAAATACTCTATATATGGAGCATAAGATTAAATTTCGCCATATGAGCCAAGATCACAAACAACTATGGAGGAGAATTTTAATCTTATGCTATATTTTCTGCTCTTGGAACGAAGTTCACATAAAAGAAAATAAATTTCTAACAAGAAAAGTACAATATATATCTGACTCCACCGACCTAGGGGCCACCTCACATGCAAATGTTGTGAAGTCACGCAAAAACGTGAATTATCTCTATACAACTTATATTGACTAACAATTTAATGCATTGAAAAGTAAATTCATGAACCTATAATCAGGGGCAGCTCAATGCAATTAGAGGCCTAAAGTGAAATTTCAATTAGAGACCGAAAATCTAAATAAACTTCATATGCATTAATTGTTTTTAAAAAAAAAAAAACTTACATTTTTAAATGCAAAGTATACTTAATATTTTTTTATTAAATGATTTATTCGATTCCTTTTTCAATTATTAGCTTTAGATAAAATTTTATCAATTCAACGTTGAAAAACATTTTCTTACTCGGACAATTATTATATGAATTGTTAACATAGAATTAGATTCAAGAAGTTGATAATTTTGTATACCCCACATTTTACTATATATGCTTGTTGTAATGCTTGAAAATCAAAGAAGAATAGAAAAAGAATTAACAATTCACTTTGTTCAACACTTTTCGACTATTGATTCATATTTTTTTATAGAATATTACTCTAACTTATCAAAAATTTTAAAGAAGAGAGTGTAAAAGGAGTTAAAAAGAATAAAATAATGTGAATATTAGCATAGAGAATGTAAGGAATAAACAATTTTTTTGATTTCTTCTATTTAAATGAGATTAAAGAGAATAAAATAATAATTGTTTTAAAAAAATATATAATTTTATCATAAATAATTAATCTTTTCTATAAAAAAAAATCAACACATAATTTATTATTGTTAAAAAATTGAGGCCCCCTAAAACTGGGGCCTAAGGCCAATGCCTTATTCAAAGAAGCATAGAGCCGGCCCTGCCTATAATTTGGTAGGTAGTAAGGCATCTAACTCTTTATATAATGGGGTATATGCGTGTTCTAAGTTAGATCACATATGAGATTATTTAAAATATTTTCCTATAATAAAACCTTCAATTAAAATTTTGTTTCAACGCTCACTTTGGCTTCTAACTTTAGCCTAATGTAACTATTCCTTGGTATAATCACTCATTTAGGGTTGTTCAAAATCGAATTGAAACCGATAATCCGAATCAAAAAAAAGTTATTGGTTTATCAGTACTGGGTTATTGATTTAGCGGTTTTGATAACGATTAAAATTCTCTGAACCAAGATCACGAACATCTATGGAGGAGAATTTTAATCTTATGCTCTATTTACTGCTCTTGGAACGAAGTTCATATAAAAGAAAATAAATTTCTAACAAGAAAAGTCCAATAGATATCCCAACTCCACCAACCTAGGGGCCACCTGACATGCCAATGTTGTGAAGTCACGCAAAAATGTGAATTATCTCTCTACAATTTATATTGACGAACAATTTAATGCGTTGAGAAGTAAATTGATGAACTTATAATTTGGTAGGTAGTATGACTGACTAATTAAATACTCCATAATATGGTAGGGGCGTTACACTCTACTAGACATATCTCAAGACTCACAAGACCCATAGTACACCTAGCCCCTAGGGCTTTGATGTTAATTTGTCACAATGCAAAAAATTTAAGTCGTAATGGTACACCTACATCCAATTTGATAGGCGAATAAATTTCAGTCATTTGTTCCTTATTAGCAAACTAGAAAAATATGGCCCGTGCCAACAAAATATTATTAATCACAGATGATAGCTTGAAGGAATTATTAAGCTATTCAGGAACTCAACTGAGAATACAATTTTAACATATCATCAGACAATAATATGACATGTTTGATTTTTAGTAATGCTATAATACTTCCACAGTAATATTAAAAAGGGATATAGCGCTATATTTATAATTTAAATACAACTTCCCAATAGCATAAGTAATAAATCATCGCTAGCAATAACATACATATGATACAATACAAATTGAGCTGTTAAATTTTAATACAAGAAACTTATATGATATTTAAAATATCTCTAATTTCATAACGTCTTTGCAGGTATATGCTCGATGTTTGTCCTCATGGCAAGAGCGAAAAAACATATAGCAGATCCTCTAATAACTCTACTGGATATCTTGAGATACATATTTTTTTTTTAAAGTAATGACAACAATAATAGTAACGATAATAAAAATATAATTGTACAATCATGATGCGTGTGGATGATCAAGAATATAATAATATTCTTTCACGATCCGAAACCAACAATTCTATTTAATATATCCTATCATCACATAAATGCAGTTGTTCTATTTTATAGAACACTCAAATTAAAAGGATCAGCAAGCTTCTTTCCTAGTCATTGTTTCAGGAAATTAGTACCAGCTCTGCATGCACTTGAAACCACAAAAGGCAATCAAATAGGAAGTTGCTCTAGCAAAATAAGCATTCAAGAATCAAATGCAAATTTATCTTACAAAAACTAAGCCAATCAAACAGGACACTGCTCAAGTAAATTTAGTATTGAAGATACATATCATATGTAAACGTGACTAATACTCTTAAATTTAGAAAGAAATCAAATTCACAAGCTCGCATTGGTAAAAGAGATTACATTAGCGTTAAGAAGTTCCACATCGGTAAAGAGACAAAAAACCTCCACTAATGAATTAGCTTTTAAGGTTAAATTAGCTCAGGTGCACAATTAGTAGCTTTGCAGTATTCGTTGTCCATTTATGCACTCACTAATGATTATCTCAAAAAAAAAAAGCAACATTAAAAACAGTCCCATTAAAATTAAAGGAGTTGAACTGAAATTTCATTCACCAAATTACTCGAAGATATCTAGTAAATCCTCAAAAAATTCAAATTCAGAAAATAACAACATTAAAAACTTAAATGTTCAAGTACAATCATGTTTCAGAGCTAAATGGGAGAGTCCTTTATGATATTTTAAACTATTGAATGAAATTATGTTGTGATTTAATTTTGTCAACTATTGGATGAAACAAACTATTGGATGAAATTATTGTTGTAATTTAATTTTGTCCGACTATTGGATGAAATATTTTTGTAATTTAATTTAGTCCCAAAGTAGATAGGGATTTTCAAAAAAAAAGAGTTGCACATATGTGTTCCATGGAAAAACAAACACATATCCCTAATTTTAGAATTTTTCAATCAATAAAACAAATGCTTCGCAAAACCTATCTCAAATATAGCTAATTTAATTACCTCTAAATGATGTATAAGGAAAAAACAGTTGTATTTAGAAGCAAAATCTGAGATTAAATTTAAAGGGGCTCTTGAATTATCGGTCAGCTAACTTCTAATGGAGAAAGAAATACATGTGGTGGCTTGTGCGAAGGAGTGACAACTTATGAAATCTGTGCCCCAAATATGAAGAGAAATCCCAAAAACTAAAGATAAAATATCAGGCGCAGAAAAAACAGAGAAGAGCACCACAGTAGCAACAATCTTCTCTGCAATTCCTTGCTCTTTGTTTTGTTATTAAGCAGAGGAGATAGAGAGCAACATAGTAGCAGAGGAGAGATGAAGGAGTGGTAGCAATGTGTACATGTCGCAATTGTTAAGTTGGTAATTGACCTTTCTTGTCCATGATAGAACAAAATACATTGCAAATGAAATTTACACTACTTCTAGTCTAGAATATATACCAATAGAGTAATAAGATGTATTTTAGAGCAGTCACTTCACATGTTGCCTCTAAAATCTATTTCATTAAAGAGGAGATGTATCGAAATGGATTAGTATTTTTTCTAGAATTGATTCATGTTGTAAAGCTAAAAAATTATTTGAAACAACTCAAAAGAAAAATGACACATTGATTTGACTTGTGAATCTAGAACATTGATGCGATCAAAAACTTCCAAAATTGGCATGACTACTCTCCTTACTTCTTAAAGACTGATCACCGCTACTATAAAATGTCTTTGTATCCTGCACCAAAGAAATTATGTCCAGAAGTAATTTGTTAAATGATAATGTGCAAATGTTTCATGGTACAATAATTGTTCGCTTCACATGCAAGTAGTCAACACATTGATAGCAATAACTTGTCTTAATTAATAGAAGGATACATGTTCACATTTTCCACTTTACTAGGCACATTTCAGTATAATACATAGGCTTCTCATTTCATTCTAATTACAATAAACAGCTACCACTGGCAAACCCAACAACATCTTGAACTTGTTCCCAGTGGAACCTTTGCGTAGTTAATTACATTTTTATACCTAATTATCCAATAAATCAAGTTTCAGTCTCAAACTAATCGAGGCCAACTAAATGAAACATTTTTACATCTTCCACTCTATTAAGCTCATTTCATTACAATACATTCAACTAAGTCACACTCCTAAACTACCCGGGACTCATGATTGACTCTACATGAAAAATTTGTACCGATTCCACTATATTAGACTACTCATTTCATTCTAATAACTATTATATAATTTGTCATTCTAAGGTATATATGTTAACAGTTATATGACTTAAAAATTCTCTAAATCTCATACTTAAGTTACGTTTAATTGAAAAATACATGAGACCAAACTACTCATCTTGTTTCAGTATACTATGGTAAATAAATCAAGCAAGCAATCAACTAATCTACATCCCAACTACATGAAACCTTTTAAATATGTTTAATTCAAGGTATATTATGAATTATATGACTTAAATAACTTGGTTTCTCAGGTAATAATGAGTTACATGACATGAAAGTTCTCTAAATTCTCAAGTTTTGAAGTAAATATATTGAATTGAGATCAGACAATGAAAATACGATAGAAATCGAATTGTACCTCGCTTCGACATTGTTGCTCTTGGCTCTGCCTGATAATGATTGAAGAGGAGGCATTAGAGTTTTATAATATGGAGCTTAGGGTTTTGCTGAAGAGTAGTGGGTAGGTGGTGCATTATTTGAATGATTCAACAGTTGCCTTGGTTTGGTAATTCAGCTATTAGTTTGTTATCCAATGGAATCAAATGTTTTCTTTAGCGATATTTTGGCCTTAATGGCGCGGTGATAGGGGAGACTTATTCCTTATTGCTGTCAAGCTGCACTTCACGAATGTGCCCTATGTTGTTGAAAGCCTAGCTCATCCTCATCCATCCTAGTTAGCAGGATGAGCAACACCAAGTGACATACAAGAAAACTTACTTTCTTGACGCCTATATTTATAATATCATCACTCTTTCTCAAAGTTGATGCAGACATATCTAGCAACTTATCCATACTCTGCATATTCTGAGGAAAGGGGGTGTTATATAGTGAAAATGCAAGGTTAGAGCGATATGTAAATCTGTGTAGAGAAGTAAGACGATCTATGTCTAGTATGCATGCAAAATTTCTCAAATGAAAAGATAGAAGCACCCAAGCAGGAACTAAAAAATTGTTGCCAGGGGTGATATATTCAGAATAAGAAGATCAAACAGCAATAGCCGAGCATTGTCTTTTCTACTTAGCAAGTTAGCATGAGAACTAAGCTTCTGCAAGTCTACCAACAACCTGGCCTCGTCCTTCCTGCAACTATGTATGATTCCACACATGCATTGTGGTTTCTCGCCATGAAAGTAAACCACAGTTAGCAAGAAATTCATTCATCGGTTCCTAAATCCACAAGCTAAGTTTAGGAACATGAGGTAATTACTTTAACCGTGATAGAGACTTAATAGATATTTAGATAAGTAGAATGGAGCATAATTTATTTTCTAGTTAAATGCCGACTTCATAGCACATACATCAAAACAGCTTAAACTTAAGCCACAAAATCCAAACCAGCAACGGGATTAACTTTGAAGAGGACCTAGAAAAGCGTATAGCCGCAGTTTGGACACAAATCAAACAAAACACAGGACTTACTTTCAAGATTTCATAGGGTAATAATAAAAGGGGAGTGGGAGAATAGGCAGGCTAGATGGTATCTGCAGGTACTTAGAAGAGCAACTTTCACATGTATGCTTAGCATATAACAATGTGGTGCCAATTACTGAGTAACAGCATACAGAGTTAAGTGCAAACATGCATATGCTGAATGTAAACATAAAATTGAGCCATATATAATGCTAGCATTTGATGCCTCAAAAAACACATATGTATACAAAGTTGTTGAGTTGATATCACTAACCTTGTTCAGATCATAACCGCATTGACCTGCATATCCAACAACACCAGATTAGCAAGAAGATTATCCAAAAGTTGTGACAGCTCCTAGGAATTAGGATGCAGTAATAAGCTCATAGGAATTACGATGCAGTTATAATTTATAAGGAAGAAAAAAAAAGGAACATAATTTAAAGATATCTCAGACAACCAATAAAGCAGATGAACACTCTTTTTCAGATGGGTAGTGATAACATTGAGCACAAACTGAACAAGTGGACCATCCTCAAGTTGCATTCTACTTAGCAAAATCAAGTCTCAAAACAGACTATAAAGAAACATTTAACCAACTTTTGCAAGTTCCATTAGAAGATCAATGAAAGGAAGTGAAGAAAGAAATGACACGATTCCAGGTCATTGAAAGCATAATTACCATTACTCCATGTGTCAGCGCTACTTCTCAGGTAAGTGTAGACATAAGTAAAGTGCTCACCCACAACATCTCCAATTACACTCATGTCAGTATTTTGGGGTCATGCAACACATCGTCCTTGTTTGTCAAACATTACTATTGCAAGTAGTTCTCAATTTTGTTAAAGTAAAGTCACATTTTGGTTTAATTCTAAACAACATACATTATTTATAACTAATATTTCTTGGTAAAAACAAAGTCATTATGCAGTATCAAAATGCAATCAAACCAGAGGCAAACAAAGGATACAGGTTCCAAAAAAATTTGAACCCAATCACAAATAACACACATACTGATCTATATAATAAAATTGTCTAGTAAAAATTAAGTAAAATCTACCTTTTGGATAGTTGTCTGACAGAGGAAAATGTTGTGGAAACTCTGTGGAGAGAACAAAGAAATAAGAGTTGTTCAATCTCTTCGGCATACTATCAAACACAATAGGTGCATAAGAAATGATTTCCTTGGTGAAAAACAATGATGGAGAAACTGTGCCTATCTATCTAATATGCGTACACGTATTTGCTTAAGGAGAAGTACAACACACATGTTCATGAGAGAAGGGGATGTAATTTAACTACCAATTAAAGAGTTCCAAAGTTCAGTTACCAATCAAATATATAAGTTCATAAATGCAATACAATAACTATTTCTTTTTGTACAGTTAAGTTATGTGATACGATGTTCATAACCCACATATGTGGATCACCAAAGAGAGAATTGAGAGAACCAATTTTGCTATTAATGTATATCACATTTAACCAATGCGGAGAATCGAGATAACCAAAAGATTAAAGCAATTCAAGAAAAAAAAAACATAGGTGAAGTAAAGCAAATTGAAAATGGCTTGTTCAAAACTTCAAATATGGTAAAATTGCTTGCAATTTCAAAATAAACACATTGATGAACATACCATAATAAGGAGATGAAGCTACATTATTGTTGTGTGTCAATTGGAGGTAAAAGATGAGGAAACCTGCAAATCATAGGGAACCAAGTTTGACAATTAAGAACAAAGAAAAAATTAGCAATCTTGATAATTCTGAATACCATAGTGGCAACATGCACAAATGATAGAGAAAGAAAGGATCTAATATTTGTTGGACATGTATTTTTTTAGGATTTAAGAGGTAGAATAGAAATTAAAGCAATGATAGAGAAATGCTTTAGACTGAACATGAATCACGTCTTATACTATAGCAATCCTGTCTTAATTTTATCTCTTACTTCATACACATTTTTTTTGTTGTTGTAGAAAATCTATTGTGAAAAAAAAATTAGTTGATTTAGGCATATTGTCAAATACCTTCCATTCATCAGAGTGCAAATCTAATGTAGTTATCAATATGCATGTGAAAACAAACTACTCAAATAAATAGCAAAAATACTAATATCATCAGAATTCCATTAACAGTAAGATGCATTAAAAGGCGAGAATAGACAAAAACTCAACATAACAAACTTACAACTAAAATAAATATTTAAGGAAAAAAAGAAACAATCAACTATATAGATGCATGCATGTTGAACATCTGCCAATACACCAAGCAGAGGACAAAAAAAAATTAATCAAAACTTACTAAGAAGAGCAAAGCAATAGAAGCAAGTGCAACCACATCAGAATAAGATGATTAATTATTGCAGAAATGAGAAAATCAGTAAACGCAGAGACATATAGCAGAGTATCTAGTTGGACCAAAACTTAGTAGTTGCAAAAGATACTTAATTGCTTAATCATAATAGTGAGCTTAAAATTCATTCGATTTATCAAATTATAAATCTTTATGGACCAAAATATTCAAAATGAGAAGAAAATAAAGAGTCGGCTACTGAAATCCCATCAGAAAAAATGCGTAAAACAAAAGAAGGGATGAAAGAGAAAGAAGAAAAAAAAAACACAATCACATATGCATGATACAACCCAAGGAAAAACTTAAACAAAGCAATAAAAAATTGTTACTTGAACTGTATTTGCTCTTTCTCCGTGTTGTAATTTTTTATTGTGGTGAAAAATTTCAGGAATGACAAAGAGCAGATTTACTTGAAGAGACAAAATTAAGATAAAACCAAAGAAATTAAGAACGACAAAAAGTAAAAACCTATTTTGATGACAGTTTTTCTACAATTTCAAGAGCTCCATTACACAACTTCATGAAAAATAGTCTAGAATGTGATAAAAGGAGAAAGGTGGGAATGGAGAAAAGGCCAAAATAGTTTTGTGTTAAAGACTCAAAGTCATGTTTGAATTTTCACATGGAGTATTAATAGTCCTCATATTTGTAATATTGGTGCATTTTTTGTCCTCCTTCAAAATTTTGTCTACTTTATAACATTGATTTTATTCATAATTTATGTATGAAATGTTTAATCGTCATTTTATATATTTAGTAGAAATATTAACTCCATGTGAGAGATTGTGTGAAGAAAAATACCTGATTTTGTTTAATAGATATCGTATTGCAGGTAAAGTCGAGAGGTTCATCACGATGATTTCACGTGCAATAATACAATTTTTTCTTTTCTTGCAATGGCATACGATAAAATGTTCTTAGTTTAGCTGCAATAATATTTATACTGAACAGAACAAGGTGTTCTTCTTCTCACCTTCTCTCACATAGAGTTATTATTTCTACTAAATATATAATAAAATGATGGGACATTCCTTACATAAATTATAAACAAAATTAATGTTTAAAAATAGGCAAAAGTTTAGGAAATGACCAAAAGTGCACCAATATTATAAACACAAGGGACTATTAGTGCTCCATGTGAAAACTCAAGAATGACTTTGACTCAAAGATGAGGAACTATTTTGGGCTTCTCTCGTGGGAATGGGTTAAAGTATTGGGAAGACAGCCGTACTAAGTAATTACACATGGCTTTATGAGGCAGAACCAATTTATCCGTTGAAATTACAAAAATGCCCTTATTTGTATGCTTGTTAGAATTGCACCGTACAATTTTTGGAGTTGTGTTCGTCCTTCACAACTCCCACATCTAAATAAGGGTAAGGTAATAATATAATAAAAGTCTACGAGAATAATGATAATACATATGTAAAAATATAACAAAAGCACCCCAAAAACCTGATGGTATGAATTGTGAGTATTTAAGCCTAAAAATAAATACAAGAATCTGGAAGAACGGACTATCTAAAAATAACATGACTAGTCTAAACACTTCTCTGTGCTCCGCCAGTAGTCACATCCAAACTTGCGCATAAGAAAAATTCTTATATAAGTATATAGATAGATACTACTTCCTTTGTCCCTAAGTGATTTACTTTCCTTTTTAATCAGTCTAAAAAAGAATGACACATTTCTATATTAAGTAACAATTTAATTATAAAATATTTATTTTACCCTTAATGAAATTATCTACCGACACACAAATTTCTATCATTCATTTTGAACCACCAGTTTTAAAATTTTTCATTTCTTTCTTAAATTCAGTGCCGAGTCAAATTACTTCACATAAAATGGGACGGAGAGAATAATAAATTAGTGATAAAAGTAATTGTTAACTTCTCTTTACTCATATACATTAACATATAAGATGAAAACAAAAATACATGATAATATTATCCAAACATTAAGTAAAATATACATCATTTTTGTACTCATTCTACATTTTTCACACCATATAATTGATAATAAGTATAAATTCATTTCAAAACCTATAGTTTTACTTTTTAAACTAAATAAATCCCACTAGATTAAGTCCTAATAACTAAGATTTTTGATAGTTTTAAATATTACTTCCTCTACCATAGTTCGTGCTTAGGATACATGAGTTTGAATCTGTGAGATACATGTATCTGCCGAACTTTAAAATCAAGATACATATTTTATTTGTCTAAATTAATTAGTTGTAATTGATTTCTTTAATTAGAGGAATAATTGAGGATTTTCTTAATATATGGACAATTAATTCTGAAAATTTAAATTAATCAAATCCCTTAATATAAGGCGGAAATCAAGGAGTGTATGTATATTTAGTTAATTTCATTTTATTATTCTTCCAAATAATAATTCATTAATATTATTAATAAAAGACAAAAACATATATATTTTGGTCATGTAATTTCATTAATTTCGTTTTACTACTCTTAAAATAGTAAATTTATTAATTTGATGTATCTATTTTCAATATATGATCTATCCAACAAACTAAACACTTAGATATATGTGTATCATACAAGTATCTAGTATTAATTTCATGTATTTGTTATATGTATATCTAGTAGTAATTTCATGTATTTGTTATATGTATATCTAGTAGTAATTTCATGTATTTGTTATATGTATATCTAGTAGTAATTTCATGTATTTGTTATATGTATATCTAGTAGTAATTTCATGTATTTGTTATATGTATATCTAGTAGTAATTTCATGTATTTGTTATAACAATACTAATTTCATGTATCTATTTATATTCTCTAATATTATTTCATGTATCTTTTATATGTATAATTTAATGTATCAAATATATTTCACACTCCGCCACTATTTGATACATGTGTTGATGTAAGGGGTACTTACAATCGTAGCAATTCCCTCTTGTCAATATGAAAGTATTGAATTCATATGAAACCAGTATTAATACTCTACATCTAAAAAAAGATGAACTCTACATATGCTTCTGCCTCTCACCAACACAGGTATCAAATAATTTACATGTATAATTTTATGTATCAAGTATCAAAAACATGTATCTCAAATACATAGTAAGTTTATACATTTAATTATGTGTATCGAAATATGGAATGTAACTAAAATGCATGAATTTAGAAACAAATCACGTAGAGTATCTATCATTAATAAAAAAGAAGATTAAAAAATTCAAAATTCTTTCCTTTTTTAGCATCTAAATTTTTTTCTCATACATATAATCTTAACTTAAATATACATAATATATATGATAGAAGGCCAGATGCATATGACAAAATTTCAGGGTGTTGTCGTTTCTTATTTCAGGGTGTAATTGGGGGAACAAACACATCAAAAGTGATGCGACAGAAAATAATTTAAATTGTTAATGTACCATTAATTAAGGAATTTAAATTTAAGATAATTATTTAATATTATATTTAAGAGATTTGTGTATCTGATTAAATTTTTAAAAATATATGGTATAAATATTAAAAGTTGTTTTAGGTAGGGGTGTGCATTCATTTTTTCAGTTTTGTTTTATACTATTCGGTTTGGATTTTTTGGTTTTTGATTTTGAAGAAGTGTAACCCAATCCAAATCGAAATAAATTTGATTTGGTTTGGTTTTTCTCTTTTCGGTTTGATTTTTTTTCGATTTGATTATTCGGTTCATCGGTTATGTCAATAATTAGGAACATAATCAAAAGTTATATTTGTAATTTGAAATAATATATACATATTTACTAGGAGGAGTAATAAAATTGAATCTCTTAAATATACTTTCTAATATAAATCACAAGTAAAACGTAAAATGTAAAACACAATCTTAAAAATATATCAATTATAGATGACCAAACATAAAATATAAACTAAATTATAATGAAAGAAAATAATTAAAAAGGGACAAAAATGGTTAACTCCAACTTAATTTTTTATAAATTCGGTTTATTTGGTTTTTCGATTTTTATTTTTCTAAATCCGAAACCAAACCAAACAAAGTAAATTATAAAATCCAAAATCAGACCAAAAAAATAATACAAATTAGAATTCGGTTTGATTTTGCGGTTTATCCAAATAATGCATACTCCTAATTTTATGTGTAATTTTTTTAAACTAAAGATAAAATAAGTATATATGGTAGTAAATTATGTCTAATTAAGTAATTTTGCCTTCAAATTAATAATCTGTTTTGATGGAATTTTTTTAATATCCATTGACAACTTCATAAGAATCAAAATTTACTAAAATTTATTAATACTCCAAGGTCTGAAAAGGCATTTTTTCCCCTTTTTTTTAAAAAGAAAAAAGAAAAGAAAAGAAGAAGAAGATATTTCGTGCGAACAAGTTTGTTTCTGTGAAATTAATGGCGGTCGTCGCCTATAAGTTTGTCAATACAAAAAGGCGTTGAGTTGCTGAATTCATATCAAATTTCTAAAACCCTAATTCGGAATTTGTGATACAGAGAAAAGCGATGGGGAATGTTAACTGTGTATTCTGCGGCTGCATAGAACAGGCGAGCGTCGGTGTGGTGGAAAAATGGGGACGTTTTGACAGATTAGCAGAACCAGGGCTCAATTTCTGGAATCCCTTGGCCGGAGAATGCCTCACTGGAACTCTCTCCACCAGGATCAATTCTCTTGATGTCAAAATTGAGACCAAAACAAAGGTATACTCTTCTTAAGTACTCTACTATTTATTATTCCGATTCCGTCCATAAAAAGTAAAACCCTCCTACTGTTTTCCATTGTATGTATGCAAAAATTGAATGATCGATCGGTTAATTTTGAATAATTTGATTTTCTTATAGTTACTAGTTACATTTGGTGTAATTAAACAACATGATTATGATGCTGATACGAGTTGATAACAAATAGACAAAACAAAATCTATGAATGAAGTAGCTAAATGTGTAGTTACAAGGAATGTGAAGTCATTATATGAGCCACCAAAAGATTTGACCTTCTACAGACCAAGCTCAATTCCTATTAGGATGACATCAAATGAGTGGATAAACCTAAGAAATATTGGATTGTGAGAGAGGGAAAAAACCTCGGGATGGTTGGTTAGTGAAAGTACATTTAGACTGTATGTAGCAAATTCAATTCTGTGGAAATGAATGAACTTTAACCTGTTGGAGTTTCAAAATGTAAACTTGCCTGTACTGTTATGTTTTTATGAGGTGGTATATTGCTGAAGAAAGTCGGAGATTAGATTAATACGCTCTTGAAGGGTTGAAGTTGTTAATTTTTAGGTAACTTTACTTACACTTAGATTCTGAAGGTAATGTTTCCAATGTATGAATAGCTTTGCGGGTTTGTAAGTCGTTCAGATATTGTGCAGTTTCTTCTAGAGTACATCATGCTAAGAATTTTTTTTTCTTTTTCTTTCTCGTCTGGACTGGAATAGGAACTGTATTCGGAGTAATACGTCCTTTCTATGG